GTGTGAATGTTTGTTGCTGTGTGAGGGTTTCTTTTGCTCTTACAAATTCCGTTGCCTTATTCCCCAGTTCCAGTCATTCTCTCTTTCCCTTTTTATTTTGTTTTCAATTTTCTTGTTACATCTCATATTTTTTTCCTCAGTTTGTCTCTTAATCTCCACTAGTCTGTTTTCTGTGTGCTTTTTACTTTCCTTAAACATAGTTAACACTGTAGTCTGAAAATGATCACTTCTTTACATAGGAGAAATTTCTTCTTCATGTTTTGCAATAGATTGGTCCTTCTCTCATAACTTTGTGTGTTGTACTATTTCTTTTGCTGAACTTGGGAAATTTTGTTCCTTTTTTAAAAAAAATTTTAAATTTTGTCTTCTGGTTTTTGGGGGAGGAAATTTCTTATTGGATACCCTGGTGGTGCAGTAACCAAGCATCTGCCAATGGAAGGCCAAGATCTGTATCCACCAGCTGCTCCAACGGATTATGTGGCAGCCCACCTCTGCAATTGGGAGCACAGGGTTGTACTGGGTTTTCAATGCCTGATTTTTCAGAAGTAGATTGCCAGGCTTTTCTTCTGAGGAGTCTCTGGGTGGATTCAAGCCTCTAGCCTACTAGTTAGCATCTAAGCATGTTAATCATTTGCGCCACTCAGGGACTTAAAAAAAAATGTATATGTGTGTGTGTATTTGGAGTCCTGATGTGGTGCTGTGGGCTATAATGTGTCAGTCTGCAAAGTTGTTTGAATTGCAAGATCGATGGTTCAAGCTCATCAGCTGCTCCTTGGAAACCCTATATAGGGTCGCTATGGATCAGAATCAACTCGACGGCACTTACCAGCAACACCTATATATATGTATATATATTTTTACTGGTACTGACTTAGCTTTACTATTCCCTAAACTTCTCATCTATGTTTTCGAACTGCTGTTACCAATTTGAGCTCATAAAAATAATTATTTGAAGGAGTAAAATGCACAAAGTGAACATTTCTTTTTACTAGTTTAGCTACTGTTGTCTAGTTTAAAGATGACTTCAGGTATAGCTTCAGCTCAAGGTTTAAAGATTTTCTCAGAGCAGTAGGTTCCAGTAAGTCTGGATTTTATAACAATTTGGAATTCTGTTCCACTTTTCCTGCACTTTCTATCAGGATTCATCTGTTGAGTCCTTGATCAAAATATTCATTAATGGTAGCTAGGTACCATCCAGTTCT